TCTCTCTCTCTGTTTGTGTGTGTGTGTCTCTCTCTCTGACTGTGATTGACAATAAAATATGTTATAGTGAACCATATTCTGAATATATAGTTTATGCTCTTGATTCTATCTTGGTGAAAAAATGGTGACATATAATTAAGTTCTACACATGCGTTAATAAGTGGTACACACTATAAACAAACATGCTAAATCTGAAAGGTTTTTTCCATTTACCCTCCTTTTGCCCAGCTGCTCAAAAATTGCTGGTCTGTGTAACAGGGACAAATGCTTGGCTAATTAGCCAAATATTGTAACCTCCTTTTGCCTAACCTCTCGCTAGGTATTCTTTGAATATAAGCTAGCATTGCTGTTCAAAAAACAAACTGAAGGGTTTAACATCGTACCCATGTCACTTTGACGACTTAAATAATGCAAAAATGTTTACATTGTCAATTCTCGATGCACATTGTTGTGTGTTTATATATATATTATTATACACTAATAAAATCTATGACAATGAATTCAGTAATCTGTAAAAAACTAAGCAACAATGCACGATCTGAGGTATCCTTAAATGATTTGACATTGTATGGTTTCATGTGACATATCATTACTAGTTTGTACGGTTGTACCTGCGTTGCTGTTCGAATATAACCTAGGAATGCTTGATTAGGAATCAATTTTAAGTATTTGTGTGAATGTGCATGTCTCAAAGGATGTTGTTTTAGTTTCAGGGCTTCAAAGATGCGGAAAGAGTTGTCGATTGAGATGGATAAACTATTTGAGACCAGATATCAGAAGAGGAAAATTTACACACGATGAAGAGAAGTTGATCATCAATCTTCACAGCGTTGTGGGAAACAAGTTAGTTTTCTCACAATCAACCATCATTGTAGTTAACATGTGAAACTTAAGTAGCAATATCACTCAAACAGCCAACAAACAATTGCAATAACTATATACTCCATTCGTCCCAAATTAATTGTCCATTTTTTACTTTTTAAGTATTTTTTCTTCAACTTTAACCTTAAATTTTTTTATTTGTGATATATATTAGTTGATAAAACTTATAACAATGAAAATACATTTAAATACAATCCATTCATATATTTTGCATATAACAATGAAAATACATTTAAATACAATACATTTAAATATTATCTATCAAAAACAAAAATATTCAAGGTTAAAATTGAAAAATAAAGACTTTTATATATATATATATATATATATATATATATATATATATATATATATATATATAAAAGTCAGGTTAAATGACTTCTTTCATTTTTGTTCATTATTTCAAAGTCTCTGTTGTCATTATTTCCGTCATGAATCAAAGTAATCAATTGACAAGTCACAATTTAATTCTTTTTACGTTGTATAAACGAAGATATACGATATGCAAAACGTTGAACGGAACAAAACAACTGAGGTTATAATGCTTTCAAGAATTAATATCGATATCCGTTAAGCATAAGTTATCCGAAGAAGTTTTATTGTTATATATAGCACTAATTAATGCCTCTTTTTACAATGTTTTTGTTGTGCATTTCTTGTTATATAGGTGCTTAAAAAATATTAAGGAGAAACAAGACGATGTTTGCAATCGTGGCATTTTCAAAAAATCCAAATAAATTACAATTTTTGTAATTAATAATCATAATAAAATTTTATATCTGATTTTATGTACACTTATACTTCAAAAACTGAGATTTAAACCCACCATTACATGATTTTTTTTTTGAACAAGCAAGAATTTTATAGAAAACAAGCTAGCAAGAAGCTAGAATTACATGAGTTTGATAAAAGAAGGGCTAAGACACCAATTTTCCCAGTTCAAGAAGACACCATTACATGATTTTTTGATTTTTTTTTTATTTACATTTCAGTTTTATAAAAGAAGATTGTTTTATATATACTCCATTTTTATATAAAACTGGAGTGTATATATATATATATATATATATATATATATATATATATATATATATATATATATATATATATATATATATATATATTAGTTTATAACTTGTGTGGGAACCACTGTTTATAAAATTAATTCAATTTTTATAGCAAAAATTCATAATTACTAATAATAATTTTAAATAACCTATTAATTAAGAGATATACCAAAATTTTAAAGTTAGTTATAACTTCAAATTTAACATATAATTAAAAACGTAAATGTTTCTATAAAAAGTTTAAAATCAATTATTTAAAACCTTAACGTCATTAATAGTGATATTGATTTGCCTAATATATCTCATTGATACATGACATAATATTAATGTGAAATTGTATTATATAGACACATGGCAAAAGAAGATTAAAACTATTATTTTATATATATATATATATATATATATATATATATATATATATATATATATATATATATATATATATATATATGCTAGAAAGAACTTAACTGTCGCTCTCAAAGTTGTTTACGCTACATATACATGAAAACAATGTCACATCCTAATTAGCTTGTTATATTTCATGTTTTTTTAGAGTGATCATATGCATTCGTCATGCTTACTTTATGTCTCAACTATTATACTATTGCAAAATGCTGACAATGCACTATGTTCTTGTACGTAGATGGGCCCACATAGCAAGTCATTTGCCCGGAAGAACAGATAATGAGATCAAGAATTATTGGAATTCTTGGATCAAGAAGAAGATTAACCGGAAGCCCTCATCAACAAGCATGATGACACGTCTAAGTACAACTTCTACAAGCATAGATCAACCACATTCCGACTGTGGGTACAACCCAACCCATTTGAGTTTCTTGAATCAAGATTTGTGCATCAACAACATCAAGCAACCAAATCAAGAAACAGTATTCTCTTCTCCTTTGAGCTCATTATTCATGCTTGACACAAGCGGTTCCGTACTAGAAGGGCACAATGGGGATTGCATTACACAAACCGAGTATTTCAATGACTCGATGTGGCAAATGAACAAGAATCAAATCCCGGAATTGCCCTCACAAGTGCTAAACTTTGCCACAAATAACAGCATTTATTCAGGCTATTTGCCACCATTAATGGAGAATTTAGATGGCATGGTACAGGGACAAAATTGCGATTTGAACAATGGGGAAGGAAGAGAGTGCTTAATTCAAAAGCAACAAGATTTTAATGAATGGGTTGAGGATCAAACAAACCAGCAATGTCCAGGCTATTTATTTTGGGATGATGAACATCAAGAAGTACAGCTTGGTGGTGAAGAGATTGTTGTTCATTCTGCATCAAACATAGGACCTACATTATCTACGTATCCTACATCATTATAGAGATTGCCATGAAAAGGGTTTGACTGTTTCTTCATTCTTTGACTTTTTTATTTTTTGTTTTTTATTTTTTATTTTTTGTTTTTTGGGTTGGTGAGAGTTTGCAACTAGCGAAAATACATATGCATGCAAGGATTTCTTTTGTTTATGTATAAAGAATGACATTACAAGAAAAAATTACAGCTTACAAAAGTATGGTACCGTAGTTGACATGAAATACGTATGATATATATATATATATATATATATATATATATATATATATATATATATATATATATATATATATGTTGTGGGGTTCTCCTATTAGCACGAATAAATTCGTGTATAAACATTATATTAATTTGAATAGTGCACAATAATTCCATCATATTTGCACTATAGATAAAATGACATTTAGCGGCACAAAAGAAGTGCCACTAAATACCAAAAAAGTGTCACTAAAAACTCACTTTGTAATCTGCGGCACAATAATAAAATGTCACTGAAAGTGCTCCCACTAAAAGTCTTTAACGACACTTTTTGGTTGTGCCGCTGCGGTTTTAGTGACACTTTCGGTTATGCCACTATAACATTTTTAGCTTTAGTGGCACTTTTTTTATGCCACTAATACATTTGTTAAAATAAAAGTCATTTTCTTATATTTGGGGCACATGCTCTAGAAAAAAAAAACATATTCAAAAAATTAGGTCCGATTACTATTTTAATTTCATTGAAATAATAAAAATACAATTAAGATTATAAATGGACATACCAATATCATTATTTGAAATAAAAGTTAATTGACAAACAATAATATGCAAAATAATTACAACATTGATAAATTCTTTGTCAAAGAATATGAGTAAAAAGATTTCATTTTTTATAATGTATTAGATGTTTGTACTTTTCTACAAAAACCCTCATATTATTCATAATTGTCATTCTTCAAATAACTTGCTCAGTTGCTTTCTTTCATGATCTTGTCACATAATTGTTGTTGAAGGTTAGAAACTTCTTCCTACAAACAAACTATAACTTTAGCAACTTCAACTTCAAGTCATAGCATATTAAAAGCTAAATAAGAAAATTAATACGATATACTATTACATAGCACATGATAGGTTCATTTTAATGTTCTACACGCAACAATATTAACCAACGATTAACATATAACAAAACAAAATTATAACTAACAAATATATTTTTGACAAAAATGCAAGTTAAGATGACAAAATAAAATAAGAAATTAATGACAAATAGATAGATTTAATATTTTAAAACTTAAATCATATTATTTAATGATAAATTTCTTTATTTTGTGTTTTATACTTTTAATAATTTATATTCTATAATAACGTTTATTTCTTTTGTTTATAAGCATACTAACAAATAAAAAAGAATTTTGTCTAGTGAAATAAACGTTGTATTTGCTTCTTATTTACTAATGACTCATTAAACACAAATTACTTATTTTAATCTTCTCCTTTTATACTAACAATTGTCTTTTGCTTTTGCAGCCATACTTTAGTCTCTTTAATACGGTATATGATCACATCTTAGACTAGTGGCAGTAAATGACAATTTTGCCCTTCGAACACTCCAATAAGTAATTTTCACATTATGAGGGCCTTGATTTACAATCAAATAAAAGATTAAAAATATTATGATTACCTTGACTTCCTTGAGCCACAGTTTCTTTAAATATGAATCACCAAAAACAATTGAAACCATAAGTGCACCATGAATGTTTTGCAATTGACTTTTCACAGCTTTACAACATGGGCTGAAAAGTTGTTGCAAGTTGTGATCCATAGCTTGCTTTTCATTTTCACATACCAAAATAAAACAAAAATTTTGCATCAAAAAGAAGAATTAAAATAAAAGATCGTCCAATACCTTAAAATGCATTTAAATGAGTAATAGAGAATCACCTGAGGCGCACAACTCTCTGGCCATAAATACCAATATTTTTAGCATATGATTGAGAGCATTCAATAAAATGATCATCTTCAAAGAAACTCCTAATAGATTTCACACCCTTTTCTGGATCACCACTTGCAAACCCTTGATAGACCATTAACCGAAACACCAAACTTTTCACTTGAGCCAATAAAAAGCACAGAGGCAGCCCCAGATGAACTCTTATGAGGAGAAACATATAAAATTGATAAAACCACAGAATGCACTGTTTACCAATCTTGCTCCATAACTCACGTACAAATGAGTCTTGAAGAAGAGAGAACTTCATATGTGAATAACTTGTCGTCTACACAAGAATCTTTAAGTCAACAAAAACTTAAATTTCTCCAAATCAAGAATCAAAGAATAAGATTTGAAACCAGCCTGCAGAATTTTCTGGATCACAGGCAATATAAGTGTCTTCACGGATACAAAACTCCGACACCTCAAGAATTCTTTCAGCATTATATGTGCGCATTCTGCTTCAGTGTTAAATAAAGGTGTGAGTAAAAGAGGTAGGTAGTGGGGTGCACACATTTCAGCTGCAAAACTTCCCATTGATTTCAAAGCTCCAGATTTTGCATAACTTGCAAGATAATGGAGTCGAGATCCATCTTTTGCTAGAAGTTGAAGTGGGGCTAGAAACATGTATGATGACCTCACTGTTGATGGGAAGTAGGTAGATTCCAAAAGAGACTTAATAGAAGTTCTCCTGATTATTTGTAAAAAGAAAGTCATGTTCCCAATTACCTGAAAAAGTTATAGAAAAAAGGATAGTAATTCCAAAAGGGTACCTCTTCCAGTCCTTCTGAATGCATGCTTCAACAAGAATGTTCACTTGAGGGGGCAGCACACCACTAAGTAAGTACTGTGCTAATGAAGTTGGATTAAAAAGTGGCTTTCTCAGATGTAGTTCTGCTAAAATACAACCAGTTGAGAATACATCATTAATATCTACAGAAAGATTTGTTGGAGAAGATAGTTTTTGTGTCCACAGAAGGAAATCTTGGTACCCTTAAGTACTATCATCTGTCTCAATCGTCTGAAGAAGGAAATTTATATCAATAACTGATGCCAATTTCAACATATACACGTCATCCATTACCTTGTAATACATATCTCAAGCCCTTAATAATAGATGTATTAGTTTCCTCAGCAATCTGACTGAGATCCCTTTGTAGTGATCTACCCATATCCAACAATCCAACATTAAAAAAATACAAGGTTAACAGTTAATAATTACCTAATTTGCTATAGAGATTCACCAGTTTAATAGTTATAACAGAATCATTAATAAATATGGATCAAATTTGAAGTAGAGGTCATGCAGTAGACCATAATACCTGAATCATCCTCATTTGAAGTTATAAACGAACAAGATGTTGAAAGTGTTGCAATCTCTTCCAGTCTCATCCCAACATTCTCCAAGGTAACTTCTTCATCGGCAAAATCAAGCATATTGTTTGACAAAGAGCAATCAGGCATTTTGTCGGGCACCAGGTAGGCAGAAGAAACAGATATGGTGGTTCAATCTACATTACTGTCTCTAACATAGTTCACCCTGAATTGGTTGTCGGTGTCTGAAAAAAGAAAAGATTTAGGTATTTGTTTTGCATTAAATCATATGATTCGACTCCTAAGTCGTAAACATGAAACTAATTTAGGGCACAAGGTCTCCCGATTTAGACGTACATGTGTTTGCCTCTAGTGAGAATCTAACCGAAATCCTTAGGGTCATATCAATGGATCGTATATCCGTGTGTTGCGCGTGTATGTTGGGAGAATTTGAATCTAGCATTAGAAGATGAAAACTTAACTCAATGTACAAGAGCTGGAAAAATCTTAATCATTATCCATATTACAAAATTGAAGTCAAGACTAGATATGGTGAATGAATGCAACAACGACATTGGACAAATGCCACGACGACGTTGAAGTAGGCGGTGATGACGCTGATACAGCAGGTACGATGGTGGCGGTGGAGCAGAGCGATGACGTGCTAAAAAGCTGATTGTTTGGATCGTTACATGGTAAGGGTTTTAAAAGTGGGAGGGGTAAAATGTAAAATAGAGAAAAAGGGTAAAACTGTCAATTTGTAGGGGGAGAAATAAGAAAATACCAAAATACCTTAATGTTATAGCAAATGAAACTATGTAAGGATATAACAGGATGAACCATTTATGAACAATGTTCGTAGAAATTAACCTTATATAAATTAGGAATCAAATTAATAGAAATTTTGGAAAATAGACAAAAATTGTAATTTTTTGAAAGCTTAGGGACTAGTTCTGTAATTTACTTTTCTGAATAACAAGTTGTACATTTATACTGTATAACAAAATATAACTTTTAATGGCATATCACTAATAGTTATAAATATTAGTGACATAAAATGTTATGTCACTAAATTTATTAATTTTTATAGTGGCATATAAAATGTGTCACTAGAAATATGATATTGTGGCACATCAAATGTATGTCATTATAAATGTATGCCACTAAATGACATTTTATTTGTAGTGTTGTCTATTTCATAATTTCAATTGCTTTTACATTTTTTTCATTTTACTCCTTTAGATTAGATGTAAGTTACAAAACACATCCTTATATTTTATATTCTTCTAAATTTCAACAACTTTATTTGAAATATGCATATAAAAATATATGCTAATAATCTTAAAAATCTTAAAAAATATATGTTAATAATTTTTCACTTTTAGTATTACTATAACTTCAAATTCATTTTCAATCAAATTTGTTTTTCACTAAATGTTAATGATATATTTTATTACTTTTAAATTTACATTTTTAATGATCGGCCAATTTATAACTTTTCTAACTTGTTCTAGCAACATCTATTTAATATTTTAACCACTTGTTCATATAGATTTGTTCTTGATTTGAATGTTTATGTTCATTTATTTATGGATGGTTTTTGATTTTGTTTCCGGTATATATTCTTTTATTTTCATATATATGTTTGTCTATATTCATTTATAATTGTCTATTTGTGTGTTCGGACTATCATTGCAATATTTTTTTTTTCAATCGGATAACATAAGTATAGTCCAAACAAAAAAAATAACACATAGATAGTCTATGCAAAAAAAAACATAGAAATAGTCGGAAGGAAAAAATAACACAGAGATAGTTCGAATGAAAAAAAATAAAATGATGATAATCCGGCCGAAAAAAACAACTCAAGGTCGATCACACGAGCTCTGATACCAACTGAAAAAG